AAACCAAACTCGTTTTTTTTTTTTTGCTTGCTTGCGTCCATCACGCGCATTCGCCATCAGATCACCACTGGCTTTTCTACTGTGTTTACGCGCAGTTTAATTGCGATGTGAAAATTAATGGGAGGGTTACAAAATACATAAACCCCGTTCTGACTTGCTGTATGTCGGCTGACAATGTCCGCGGCTGAGAAATTGTCCTCAAAATTTCATATTTGACCTCGAAGCTTCGCTTCTCGGCCAAATATTCATTTTTCAGACAATCTCTCAGCCGCGGACATTATCAGCCGACATACCAGCCCCCCGAAGGGGTTTATTTACTAAATAATTCTGTGTTATCTTTTTGGTCCACAGCTACAGTTTCTTTTTTATTCCACAACTACATTCCAACTCTGCAAAACAAAATAGAAAGACAAGAAGCCCGTTTTAAAGGAACCCATGTGCCTCGGGTTTCGTTGGTACCTAGTGCAAGATCAGTTCATGTAAATCCCATCTCGACAGGAACCATTTCAAACTCGGGAATTTCTCACACAATAACAGGTAAAGAAATTTGCTCGACATTTGTAATTATAAAATAACTGAGATGCTGTAAGCAACCTGATTGATCAAAACTTTATCGTATATTACATCTGTAAACCCGTTGAAAATTGAATTTTATTCTATAAAAGTGATAGACGTACTTGCCATCGGTTTACCGGCGTCATAAAAACCTTGGGATGTTGGAAGAACACGAGTAAAGTTTGTTAATCACGAACCGGAGGAGAGTAATTTACACACTCTTCCGAGGTGTTTGCCGAACTACCTACGTTGGGTTTATATTACAGTGGTAAACCGATTGAAAGTACGTTCTGTTGCTTAAAGAGCGTGGGCTAGAGAAAAAATTTGAATACCCGAAAGAGGAGATTGAAGAAGCTGGTCATTTTTTTTCCGTTGTCGAGGATGGAAAAACGTCTTAAAAACACGGACGCACGCATGGATTTGTGGACAAAATGTTGGGCGATTATCTTTCATCTTCAAGCTAACGTTGTCGTAAGAGGCAATGAAACTTCATGTGGAATAAAATTTTTCTTCGATTTTCTCCAGTCACAAGTGATGGTACAGTAGCAAGAGAAGATGATACATCCCCCCTCACTTCAAGTCACAGTAGATTCGAAGTGGTACAGGTCAATGCACTCACACCACAAGATATGTTTCACAATGCGTCCGCCGTTCAAGGGACACCGTCGTACATCATTCAAGCGCCTGCAGGACAGACTTACATCATTCAGCAGCCGGCTGGAAGTTTAGTGAGGCAGGCGCACACGGGCGAACTTACCGCAGGATCTGACGGAATAGATACCAATCAACATGACCAGGTTATTAAGAATTTTTCGCAGTCAGAGTACTTTCTCGTCCCAGAACAACTCGTTTTCACTTTCTGTCACGTTTCTCGTATTTCTTCAAGCACGTGACCAAAAGAAGCGAGGATGCTGGGAACGAGAATGAGTCTGAGTCACTAGGCAGTTTTCCTTGGTTGCACAGCGGTGTATTGTCTACGCATATGCAAACATTAAAACCGCAATGAGGCGGCGTAATGCATCATTTGATATACAACAGAGATAGAGAAGAAGTATGACACGCTCTTTTAGAAACCTATACATTTGGAAAAGGCTCAGAACCAACTGACAAATCAACAGAATTTTCGTAGCTAGATAACCTTTGTGTTCGAAAAGTCTTAAATTTTTCCCCTACTTTTGTTTCCTTTTTAAAGGTTTATATGAAATTTGTCAAAAAATCTTGACACAGACTGAATCGAGTACTTATTTTTCATTGCAGGAAGTTGTAACTGTTCTCCAGGCCCATCACGCCGTTCAAACTCTCCCAGAGGTTGGACCCGAGTTTACGCAAGCCATTGTACAAACAGACATTTCCGGTCCTATTACTGCATCGGAATTGACTGATGTAAGCCTCGGTCACACGAAGTTGTCAAAACCTGCAGCCGATTTACAGACATCTGTGGCGTCACAGGACAGTGGTAACCATGAAGCAGTCGACCAGACCAGCCTAGAGGCTGTCCAGACTGTGGACACCCATCAGTTAGGAGACCACCAGAGTCTGGTGCAAGATGAGCTTCAGGTAGAAGCATCCGATGCAAAAGAAGATGGGGGCAAACAGACTGCATTGCCGCATCACCCCTCATCCGATGGAGACGAGGATGGCAATGTAGCCTGCACAAATCAGGCTTTTACCAGTGCCCCATTTCAGGGTAGGTGTTTCTCCACGCGTTCAGAGCTTAATTTGAGATCTAGTTCCCATTTTGCCTTGGATTAATGCAGGCACACCACTTTTTGCATTCCCCTGTCCCCATGGGAGTAAAAGAGTTGACCGCTGACAAATATCAAAGATGCAGTAGTAGCTTCAAATCACTGGATAGTGCAATGTAAACTTAAGCTAATTTTTGTGTGATTTTCAAACTTTTCATGCGCGTGTTTTCATCACTAGGCCCGGCGGCAATCGCTCAGACGTTAGATGGAACACATCTCCCAGACAGACCAGTCGTACACATGCATCAAGTTGGCCCGGGAAACCGAGAAGTCGTCGTCAGCCCTGATCCCCTGGGGGACGTGCACGTCACAGTTATGTCAAACATAGAGCCAAGGCTTGCGGCCACTTTATCTCCGTCACCCGCCATGACAATTTCACAGCATACACTAAGCCGCACTAGCAATGCCAATGAGTTATCTGTAAACGCTTTGGTACCTCAGGTCACGTTACCAGACGAGATACTTCAGTCGCAGTCAGACGAACCCTCCGTTTTATCCCCGACTGAATCGGCCAATGTGATGATGGTTACCGAAAACTCCATGTCCATCACTTCAACTCTTCCTTCTCAAATCCTTCAGTCGCAAAATGATGAGAACACAACCCTGTCCGACCCCACCCCCACGTCGAACAGTACCGTCCCTACTGGATTAACTGTTGGTGGTCCTCTCGGCAATATGGTGACTGTCCAGGGTGCCCTAGGGCATCCAAGTGATATTATGGATGCCAGTGATGTATTACTGCATATTTCTTTGCCTATTTCCAACCCGTCGGTTTCTTCAGAGAAGCAAGATTGTACAACAGAAACTTAGAATTTAAGCGATCAACCTTTTTACTCCCTAGATCCAAAACTCAATTCTTAGCACTGCCTGTCATTCATTTCTTTAATTTTAGTTTGGAGAATTTGGTGGTAGAAATCAAACATCCTCCGGATGATATTTTTTTTCTCCTTTCATTACCGTTCTACGGTGAAAATGTATTTACATCGCAAAGAGAAATTTCATTTTGCTCCACCCTAGGAGCGAGAAGGGTATTAAACCTGTAAGGAAGCTCCTTGAGCGTAGATTCAAGCCTGGAAACTTTCTAATAAGACAATATTTTTACGCAAATGAGCAATTTAAGAGACTTTCCGCGAGAGAACACTAGATTAATTTCTGGTGACTCACAAATTTTTAAATGACCCTTTTCCCTGTACCATCAGTATGTACATATTCTCCACATTGTTCTGTACTAATTTCCTATGGTTATGACAAGGAGATTTTGTGTAGCAATCAAGTGCTTCTAAAGTTGGTGATCAATTCCTTCTTTCTATTGAGGCCAACGTTTGATTCAGTGGTAATACTGAAAGGTGGAATTAAGTAATGGTCCGTATAAGAACTATAGTAAAATCAGCGGGAATCCGGCAGCGAGAGCCGTTTGCCACGATGCCGAGAAAATTACAAAACAACGCTTGGGCTGGATAAACGAAAATAAGCGCCAAATTCAAATCTTTGGTTCGAAATCTTGTAGCACATAGTCTGTTGAAGTTAAAGACGTGAGAGCCGACAATCGTTCACAAACATATATGTATGATGCCGTTAACGTTTTTGAATTTGTATGCGGGGAAAGCCAGTTTTGCGAACGATTTCTTCCTTCAGAAAAATATCATCTGTCAAAAGAGGCCTGCTTTTTTTTTCATAAACGTTCATTACTGATCATCAAACGCCATTGGTGCGGTTTGGAAGATTATCTCACCTCAGTTTCTCGAAATCAGACGACATGTCGCGAAACTCGCAACACGTGCGCAAGACCNGAGAGAAAAAAATGTCTTGTTTTGAAATAAAATGGGCTTACCTTATTGCTTTGTTGTTTTCTTTGTTGATTCCGAGCGTCTCAGGCCATTTTGAAGCGTTTTCGGCGAGTTAGCGCTATGTTGGTGTTCAACTGCTTAAAGTTTTTCTTTTAGCAGTTGAACACCAACATAGCGCTAACTCGCCGAAGACGCTTCAAAATGGCCTGAGACGCTCGGAATCAACAAATAAAACAACAAAGCAATAAGGTAAGCCCATTTTATTTCAAAACAAGACATTTTTTTCTCTCCTTTAAGGCAAACCGATAACATCCCATACAAACCTTTATAACTATAAAACGTTGCGCAACACGTTGAGAGTCACGTCCGTTTTTCTAGTAGTGAGCTTGGGCTGCCTGTGGCTACGGCGGAAGTTTGTGCTATCGACTCCGCGGTGAATGCACCACTCAGTGAAAACATGCTCGCGCGCATTGCTAGTCACTCTTGGGATAAAAGCGTCAGGGAGCCAGCCGCATGGCGACTCTGAGGCGAATATGTATGTTACCTGCGTTGTTTTCAGATTTGACTCTGGAGTGAAGGTACATGTCATTAACTACTAACACGGAGAAAATATGAAGAATAAGATTCATGAGAAGTTAAGTTGACGATGCTCGTGTTGACTGTTGTTAGGGTGCCCCTCGTACATCTGGGTTTTCAAAGTTAAGCTACGTGGAAACTTCTGATTCATACCGCGGGCCCACTTAGTTGACCTGGGATTGGAACCCCCACTTCCGGTACAGTGGGTGTTGAAGAAGAGATTTCGTGACAGGTTTATAATACGTGACAGAAATCAGCTGGTTAGGTCGTATGACAATTTTATGTTAAAAATTTATTCTTTATGAGTTTTTGAAAGCTCTCTTGGTGAGAGGGAGGATAAATTGTAATCTCACCGCGTAAACTAACATTTTATTCTAAAACAAAGAGAAGCTTGTTTTTTTTCCTCGTTCATTGTTTTATGCGCCCCGGGAAGAAATCTGACCGCTCCGGTTCCGATTGCGCATGACACCCACGTTTTGTAGGTCTCGTGTGCAAGGACCAACGCGTGCACTCTCGTGTGCGTGTTACTCACGTTCTGTAACGCTCTTCAATTAATAAATCGCTTTTTAGTGAGAAGCGTTATTAAAACAAAGTACTCTACATAGTGAATTTCAAATTAGGAATAACGCATCAGAAGACTTATCAACCCTTCAAGCAACGCCAGAAGAGAACTTGTGTCATGCACGTGCACGAGAGCGTCGCATTTTTGTTGTGCGCGTTTCTTGACTTCTCGCACGCGCGTGAGAAGGAACGTCTTTTCTCAAGCTGCGTCGCTATGGTTGGGTTAACAAACCATTTAATCGCATATTATACAACACAAAGCCTTATTAAGAAATCGTATCTATTACTTTCACCTTGAAAACAAACGGATTTATAGGTGAAGTACGACTTTCAGTCGCCATAGTAGCTCAGTGTTGGGAAAAACCAGGGCTGGGTGTGTGACCTTGGGGTGTTGTTCCGGTTATTTGAGAACGATTTAGAAATCAATCAAACTCTCCTGCTTGCGGTTTGGGTTTTGAAACTTTGAAGTTAATCTCTTGTTCTCGTGTTTCGCTTTACAAGAAATAATACACAAGCAGGTCGACTTCAAGCGCAGGCACAACGAACCGTTTGGTCTCGTTTGAATCCCTGTCATGAATACGATACAGAAAATTAAAAGGAAAAACTTCAAGGAGATTTCAGATTAGAAGTCTCGTATTTAAGGTAAGTACACTCATCAATGCACAAAGTCAGCCTAATTACGTAGACACAGAGATTTTATAGTGTCTGATCATGAATTGAGACGGTCTAAGACGGGTGTCTGTTCGCTTTGCAGTAATGCGAAAACGTTATAAAAATATCATTATTTTGCAGGTCAAATTTCGACCAGGATTCTCATCTAATTTCATCAAGACCTCATGAACAAATCTCCGTGGGGAAACATTTCAATTTTTCGAAGTTTGCAATGGGATTACTCTCGAAGAACTCAGCAAGAGAGATTGATTTCGGAGAACAACCCACTGCACTGTTAGACGAGGATCACATTGTTATTGTTCTGACAATAATAACAAGTTTGTTCGCGATTTCCTGTATTGCGCTCTTTTTTTACTACCACTGGAGAGTGAGTCGTTACCTCGTGGAAACACGTATTGGGAGTCAAGGAAATGACTTAATTTATTTATATTATTCAAAGCGTTCATAGAGGAATCATTTACAGAGACCTGCAGGGAGAATATTTTTTGAGCACTTCAACGACTTCAGTGGCCAGTCAAACTTTGTCCCGTTAACTAGATCTATCAGGTGATCAATAGACAGTAATTTTGTGGCTTTTCTTTTCTTATGGAACGCACGTGAATTATACTTTTATGTTCCGTGCATAAACGACCATTACTCTAAAATATTTTGTTGCGCAATGGAGCCATAGTATCTTTTTCCCTGCGGGGTAAACCCGGAGGTCTCCCAAGGGGATTCTACTACCATTAAGACATGGACAAACGAAGTCCCCGTGATTGGTACCCCTGGGGGCCTACCATTGGACTCTTGTGATACGATTTCTTGGCCGGCTGTAAGGGGTAAAATAAGGAGCTGATAAAAATAACATCTCAGCGTCTTTCTGAAAAGGTATTCACATGATTTCGTGCACAATTGGAAATCAAATAAACAAATGATTTTCCCTAAGGCTAAAGAAATTGCACGGGGCGGGAAAAATATGAATTTTTTCTAAAAATAAAAAATCACGAGGGGTTGTTTACTCCAAATTTCACGAGAAAAATCGTGTGTTTACCCGAGATATTACCGTCCTAGCTAACTTTTGGCCTTTTATGCATGTGCAAGATATAGGCTAAAACTTCTTTGACACGGGAGGTGATAAAGGGAGCTTTGCATTGGCCAGTGTATCTGTTTCCCTTCTTTCTTCGGCTGAGTGATCCACATGATCCGGCGATCCAGTGTTATTGCGATTATTGCACGATCTTTGCATGATCTTGGCCTGATTAAAGGAGCAAGGCTCAATGAGCGAAGCCAAGAGGGGTCTTTCGAAACCAAACAGGTCGCCTCATCTGTCAGGTGGATTTAGGTACGAGGGAAGGGATTCTTCACTGTCACGTTACTTTACGTGCGTTAAGCCCTCAGTCTGATAATCTCACGTGCGTTGTTATGCCCGGCAGGCTTGCATTATGCTGACTTCGTGCACTTGAAATAGAATACAGACAGTTAAGAGTCAGTTTTTGTGTGTGAAAAATCTAGATTGGAGTTTAACGTTAAGTGTTGACTTGAAACTCTGAATACGATATGGAATTTATTTGATTGTTTCATTTGTGTATTTATTTATTTACTTATTTATTTATTTATTTTTCGAAGGGTTGTGGTCGGCACGTGAGGTTTGATGTGTTCATGTGAACAAGAACGAGTGAGCTAGGACTGTGTCCACTCTTGAAGTTGCGTGATCATACTATTGTGACACCTGCAAATTGACTAGAAAAAAAAAAAATTCCTTTTTATCTGCTCAATCATTCGAGCAATTTAGAAAAACGTACGCCAAATTGTAGAATTTCCTTTTCAGTGACAACTTTGGAGTCAATTGGTTAACTTGTGACGAAGGCAAAACATAGACCAGGGACCCATTTTATTGATGGGTTCCTGCATACACTCTGTACATTGGAACTCCTGTTGGAGCGACGTGCGTTCAAGTTACTCTCGTACAGAACTTTCCGTAACAACTTCCCGACTAGAAAGCGGAAAAACTCGGAAAGCAAAAGTATGACTGCCCCACGCAAAAAATGTTTCCTTTTTGAAAGTAACTGATATTTTTGCGCTGCTATCGCCGGCAACGACAGAACGTTAGCAAAACTGAAAATATCGCATGTGTATAAAGTTGCAAAAATTCCTTGAAGCGAAGGGGTTACTTGCACGCAAAGTCACGTGAGGGATGACTGAATATTCCCAAGAGCATAACCTTACTCACGCGATGCTTTGCTTTGTGAGGAAAAAAGACAAAAAACACGTTACCATTCTTTCTCTTTCATATGAGTTGTAAATTGTCTGGATGGGCTTTTTTTTTAAAAAAAAAAAAAAAAAAGTGGCATTTTGGTCACCACTACAGTTGAGAAGGCAAATCAAATGGGGGAGTCCTAAGTGCGTGTAATTGGAAGGAAAATTCACGAAGTAATAACACTCTTTTGAAGGAGAGAAAGACCAGGCTTGGGGACTAATATCCTACTCACCCTCGTCCTTCTTATCTGACAGTTTTTTTGTTTTTTCTGATTTGTCAAGTGAATTATTTATACTGGGTAAAGGGGGAAGTTAGATTGCATTAGAATAGAAGCAAATCTTGTAAGCCAGACACTCGGTAGATTATTATTAATTTTTTTTACTCCTCTTTAAACTTATGGAAACATGTATTAATTTCGATTTCATATTTCGATCTTACTGTGAAGAAAATTTGACTCAGTTGGGCCCTAGAGTCGCTCCCGGCTTCCAATTTCGTCTGTTCCCAGCCCTCCCCCACACGGGTGAGTTTTCCGCACTGATTATGGGTTTTCCCGAAGTCGTAATTAACATTCCATTCGAACCTTTCTGAAGCATCTTTCCAATCAAAGACATTTTTTAAATTTTTTGGTTCTGAGGCTAAGAGGGGGGTACGAAATTTTTTCCACAAACAGCCCAAGGAATTTTACTGTGGTGAAGAAAATATTGTCTCTGGAATAATATGAAGGCTTGTCGCAATTTCAAGGGGAAATGTTTGCGTGATATGGTCGTTTGCAGGAACAGAGTTTTGAATGTTTTAAACTAACCTTGCGTAACAAATATTTAAGTCTTTGGCGTTATTTTTAGAACTGCTCGTGTTCAATAATAACTTGAGCTATCTTTCGCGAAACAAAATAACTTTGCACAAGGTACCAAAAATTGCAAGTCAAATTACTGTCTGTCAACAACATAAACAAATTATTCAAAGGAGCGAATTGCTCGCAACGTTGAAATTGTTGGAAACATCCGAAGCAGTCTTTCTGATTCATACTTACGAAACTGCTTTTTTTTCTTTCGAATTCAAATGTATTCATTTCTGAAACATATCAATTTGTTATTATGTTGCCTGAAATAGTTACTTACGCTTTTGGTATTTTCGCGTAAACAATCACACATTACCGAATCTTGCTGGCTTCACATGCCTTAATTGGGTTTGAGAACAAAATCAAGAACTGTCACCTATTTTTCTGCGTCACCTTGTCGCCAATTTATGCACACACTTTAAGTAATCCAGTTTGTCTGCAGTGAAGAGATTTCTGTTCAAGAAATGAGATGATTGCTGAAAAGAATTCGTAACAATACGCATAAATAATAAAGATTATAATTTATTTTAAAAGACCGAAAGCCGGATTAAGATAAGATCTGAGTTTTAATCCTAGTGATCCAACTCAAAAGCTAAAAATCCTTTACCACTCCTTTCAAAAGCGGTTTTAATTAGTACAGGCAACGCTTGATTAAATTAAGTCTTTCGGAGCTTTTGAAATATTACTACAAGAATTTAGATTACGCGGAGTTTTGTACCGCGAATTTAATTACAAGTGCATCGGATGTTTAACATTTCCCGTTTGCCACGAAAATAAGTCTCTGTATTCCTCGATAACCATCACCGCTTAAGTCATTAAGACATGGTATCTGTTCTCGTTCAAACTACCATTCTTTTCATAATCTTACTATAGATTAATGCAAATCATAAAAATAACCTTTCTCAGTCCCTAACCCCAAAAGACAAACAACAAAATTTCAATTCTTCATAATTTTAATATTACAAAAACTTCTGTTGTTATGAATAATAAAAAAGTTTTAACAAATGCAAATTATTTTCAGATTAAAATATGTGTATCTATATGCCTCTTAAAACTTCCTTTGAGAAATCTAAAATTTGATTGCATTGAAAAATGAGAACCTCACCAAGCAATTTACCAAATCTGTAACTTCAATTGTCTCCCACAGAGACACAATGTTAACTTTCTGAAAGAATGACATTATTGTAACTTTTCTTTCATAAAAACAACTTGGAATAACATCACAAAGACAAGCACCTTCACTTTTAAAATCACCATACAACAAAGAAATTTAACCGTTGCTTAACCACCCTTCAACAACTCGTTGCAGTTTGTCTGTTCACAATACTAGTTTAAGCCAGTTAAGCAAAGTAAAGCTTATTTTCTTCTTATCAAGGCATGTAAATAAAATTCGTCAAGTGGGCATAGTCAGACAGGATGTAGCAGAAAGATAATTCATCCTGAAACAAACATTATCTGATAAGATCAATGAAAAGACAGATTATCTATTAACCTGCTGTGTGCCAGCTTGACTCAAAAGCAGAAAATTCAATCACTTCAAACGCATCAATTATGTTAAGCATTTACATGTACATGTCACAAAATAATTTGAAAAACACAGAAAAATAATTTATTTCCAATCATACCCTTTGCTATGCAATAATCAAATCGAACTCAGGTTTAAAGTGATCACTCGAAACTCCTTTGCCATTGTCTTTTCAAATTTGTTTTCAAAAATACAAAAATATGTAATCTGTTAATAATTAAAAAGACTGCAAAACGTAACTACTCACTCACTTATTTCTCATAAAAATTATTTCATTGCATAAAATAGATTGCACTCAACTTTCCTGAAACATGAAAGTTAATCTAAAGCAGCAATATTCTATCAAGCCTTGACCTCGAAACCCATCAATAATATTGCAGTTTCAGAAGCATATAAAAACAATATTGATAATACTGGAATAGTTTATCTATATAGTAACATTTCTTATAAACAAAATATATCCCCTGGAAATATAATATATGCATAATGCATGTTTACACTGGCCAAAAAACTGAGAACTATATATACCTATTGATCACAATTCACAATTTTGTTTTATCACCCTTAAATGTTATATTCAAAACCTAAAATAGAAGCCAACTGAAACTGACTTCTGTCATGTATCTTGTACAAGTTGCTGCTCGATAATAGTGGTACAGATTGTCGCAGAAGCAATATTGCAGAGTGCGTCAGTTAAATTATGAAAAACCTGCCTTCAATGTTGCATGCAATAATACCTCTTGCCAAATGATGACTAAGAAAAATCCTATATGATAGGTACACTGGGCTACTAAAGACAGTCGGAGATTTTAGTATGACATCATGCAAGTATAAGCTAAAACCTGCTTGATCACATTAACTGACCATACTTTTATGAACCTTACAAGACTATGCTTGATTTATCAATTATTTTCCAGAATTTTCTCCTAATTGCTTTCCATAGACCAATTGTCCAGACTTAATACATGCTGTTTTAGACCTGGTGCCCAAAAATCAACCAATGTTGGCATCCTGGGAAAACATACATATCTTATCTCAAGGATATTCTTTTAAAAACAGAACAAAGTCCTAATGAAAATTTGGTAATATGGCATAATACAGGTTGTGCAGTCGGCAGTTTTTGTTGCCTCAATCACAATTTGGAGCACGAGCCATGATATGAAATAACAAATCAACAATGCTTGTAAAATTCCCTTTTCCTGTTACTCTTGGCTTGCTTTCACTGCAGCTTGTTGTCAAGCAACCAATTAGTGAGCCACCTAAGCAGATGAATGATTTTTCTCAGATCTATACAGCCATTGTCTCTGGTTGTGCCATATTGCCTTTCTTTTGTAGAGCTAACAGTCACCAACATGAAAAAATTCAATCGATATTTAATCAGCCGACAAGAAACTACTTATGAAGCCCACAAAAGGCCAAAATATCACCATGCAACTATGCACAACAATAACAAAAAAGGAATTTACGTATTTTTCTGAAAAATTTCAAATTGTGATTGAATAATATATGGACTGCATGAATGCAATATTTTCACTTTGTGTATATATCCACAAATGTCATCAAATTGAACTAGGAGAGGCAGTTACTTTCATTCTCGAGGCTTTAGTCTTAGAGACCTGTCATACAGATCTTCTTCAGACAAGAAATTGTCCATTCCTGCAAACAGTTGTGAAATCTGATCATTCCACTCGAAATCATAACTAGTAAGTTTAAATCGTCGTACATTGTCAACAATATTAAAGAGCTGCCATCTCTTAACAAAATTCACTTTGCCATCAGGCAGTTCATCTGCGTTACCATGGTAAACAAATGTGACATCTTGGAGGATGAGTCCAAGGTAGGGAATGCAAGGTGGCTGTGCTTGTGCCAAAGCATCACGATAAGCTCTGAAAGATGATGAGCTGTCAATCAATGTTGCATACTCCGCTAGATTCTCTGGGAAATGTTTAGGCCAGTTGAGCCTCCTTACCGCAGAACAGTCCAGTGCAGAAAGGATTCCAAAGAATGAGTTAAAGTCATTAAACCTCCGTAAATGCTTCATGATTTTCAGGAATTTTAGGTAGACCTGCTCCCTGTCCTTCTGTTTCTCAAATGACAGAACATGGGTGCGACACCAATAGGAAACCTTGTTGAAGTGATCTGTGAAAATGCACAAATTTGGTGAGAGTTCCTCCTTCTGTTCTTTGCCCCAAGCAAGGATTTCTGGAATTTCAATGTTGTGGAAGTTCCTTGCATCAATTAGGGTAAGTTGTTTTGCAAGATCCTCCGCATTAAAATCCAACACAGTGTACCTCTGTCCTGGATCAACGGGATGGCTGGCAGGAATGTTGCTGGAAGGAGAACGTGACCGGTAGTAGTTGTCACATTTTGGTAACATTTTGTCGCGCAAAATCTTTCCAAGAACAATGTCTCCATTGACAAGAAGGCGATACACTTCTTTCATTAGCTGCTCCAAGATGCTTCTCTCAACTTTTCCAGTCAACTCGTCAACAACTCTGAGAAGCAAAAAGAAAGCGTTTTGGCTGGCTCTCTTGGAACCTTTCTCCCGAAACCTTCTCTCCCTATAGAGAAGCTTGGTGATTAGGTCCTTTGGAGAAATGAAAGTTCTATAGGTGGTGAGGAAAGCTTCATAGTAAACCAGGTCTTTCTTAGTTGAACCACTGGCATGGACAATGAGTGCATCGATAGCTCCACCAACGAGTGTTGGTCCATCATCATCATCACTACGATAGACAAGAAACCTAGAAACATCCAAGCAATCCAGAGCAGGGGTATTGACATCCTCTTCTTCTGTCCCACTCAAACTACTTGAGCTACTGCTGGTGTTACTTTGCTTTCGAGACCGTTCTTCTTCAAGCGGAAGTAGCTTTTTCCTCTGGGAATCTGTTCTGACATTTTTGTTATAGTCGAGGGTACCATTTGTTTTGATTTGGTGGGAAGGTGAGAGCTTTCCAGTACTTCCTTGCAGGGTTGGAAGAGAATGAGAACGTTCTGAATCTGCCACATTGCGAAAGGCAAACATTTCTTTTTTGAGCACAGGTGAGGTGGGAGAATTAGCATTCGCACTGATACTCCTTCTAAAACTTTCCTGGTAGCCATCGTAGGCAGACGATGGTCGTTTTAAGATCCCATCAGCAGGCTGAGTGTAATTTCCAACAAGTTCAATGTACACTTGGAATGATTTCTTCTTTGGTGTTGACTGTTCATGATTCTCTATGTATCCCAAGAAAGAGGCTTGAATTATGGGGCTGTCTGGCTCTTCACGATCATCAGCAGAGAAGAAAGATCCTTCTTCCTCTACTGAGCTTGATGCAGATAGAAATGCATGGCTATTGAACTCATCCTGTGAACTAACTGATGACTGTGGAAGAGAGCGATAGCTGGATGAGTCACTAGCCTGGCTAAGTGACCAGTCAGAGTTTTTTAAGTTGGCAGGATTGCGCTGATAGTTGTAATTTGAAGTGCTTCTAAACGACTGCCGTCCTCGAACGGGAGGTTCAGGAGGGCTTAGGTAACCATTATGATGAGCTGTATCGGGTTGATCGAGGATGTAGTTGTAAGAACCGCGACCTGAGTCACGAGAAGTGGCCGGAGAAGCCCTCGAAGAACTGGAATCGTGACAAGAACCATCGACAAGACTCCCTTCGCTGATTCCAGAATCTCTTCGATTACATAATTGTCCATAGTCCGATTCGACAACTGGAATTTGAATACTTTCACTGCTTCCTTCGAACATAAAAATCGAGTTTCGGATTTCATCGTTTAGTTCCCGTTTTCTAAGCCGCGGAATTGCTAAATCCACTAATTCCTGCACGCTCGCTTCGAGATCTTTAACGCATTCGACTCCTTCTTCGAGATTGCCTTTCACGTTGCCGCGCACCAAAAGCTGATCGCTCCATCGAACAAGCTCGGCCATTCGCTTATGAATTGATTTTCTATAAGGTAACAGATCAGTGTTACTACTGTGAAGCCGTAGGCATGTATCAAGCATATTGTCGATATTGATGACTGATTCTAACACGATCGAAGTGTTGTCAGGGATTTTCGCCATCACAATGTCCATGTTGTTCTTGTAATTGTTCAAAATGAGAATAAAATACTGAACTGCGCTGCGTAGTTCTTTGTGATACTGTTGAAAGGCTTCCAAATCGCGGGTTTGATTCGGCGATTTCACAACCGGTTTCGGTACATTCTGTTGATCGTCGACCACTTCTGGAGCGGAACGAGTGATAGCTTCGTCATTACTACGCTTCCTACCTTGATTAAAGGATTGTCTGCGTAGAATTTTCAAGATTTTTGGCTTTCGATTTGTAGTTGGAGAAGGCGACTCAACATTCACCTTATTAACCTTCGTCTCGCGTAAACTCATCATTCGTTTGATCGGAGATGCCATAGTTTCTGATTCCGCGTCAACAGAGCACTAGGCGATTTACATAAGTAAAGTCAAATTATAATTTACGATCGCCGCCAACTTTGGTCGATTTTTGGTCTGTATTTCGCACACAGTTTATAACAGTCATACAAATAATTTCCAAAGAGGATGAAATTCACACCACGTTGACACCTCAAAGATGAACACAACGAAATCAATGGTCGAGAAAAACCTCAGTGGCTTCCACCCTGAGTAGTTTACCTTAATTAGAGAATTGCTCCCCGCTATAATACTTAGCGTCAGACGATAATTTCTCAAGGTATTCTGCCGATAGCGATCACAGAGAGTTCCTGCAACGTTCTCCGTAAACAAAGGGAACTACAAAGCGTCGTGATTCCAATCTTGCAAAGAATTCATCAGTCGCTTAATTAGTGTAGGATTTCAGAGTCGAATTTCGCAAAATATCTAGATATTGATTCTTGATGCTTTCTGTCACGTCGTTGTCATTCATGCCACAAATGAACTCCGATGATTAGTCATTACTCGATAAGATCTACCCCAGAGCGTGGACGCTAAAACTGGCATCTGCGCCGTCCAAAGCGAAATACACTCTCTTCCACCCTCTCCCGCAACCTGTTCGTAAATGCACAAGGGAAAGTAGAACTCTAAAGTGCTTTTTCCTGAGAAAAACAACACCTTGGTCGATCGCAGGAAACGTGCACATGGACCGCTGACCTTTGAAATTGGCCAATTCTCGACACGTGATTGGCTGGATGTGACATTATACCTTGAGCTACTTGAATAATGAACACATAACACACATTTTAATGGTAAATCAGCAACTTAATTACTTGTTAATGTTTAGTTCAGATTCCGAGGTTTCTGTTCGAGCTTTCTAGAGACGGATAAGAATTTGTTCATTCTGACCGCCAGATAATAATTTTAAGTCGATCTCCTGAAATCTAGACGGACATGACGTCGCTTGCCGATCCCTTTTGAAAATCTACGTCAACCACCTAACTTTGAGCATTAAAACTTTTGTTGGATTTTATCTTAAATTAGGAAACATGCAAGGATTCGTTCCGACGAGATGTGCTCTTTTGAAGCTCTTCAATCACGGATAGGCAAAAATCAGAAAACAATGAAAATATCAAAACGGATAGAAACGATCCAATACACAAGGTTCAATTATATTGAGATTCGTTAATATTGCACTGTTGCGTTTGTTTCCAAACTGTCAACGATTCGAACATTTTATCTTAAAAAGGCTCGATTTGCTTATGTCATCCCCCAATCAAAGTTTGATGGCACCAAAATCAGAAACTGTAACCAAAAACGTTATTTTTATCGCTGACATACAAAATTTAACCTTGATCTGTTACAAAGAACGGAGTTCGTGATTTAATAGTATCTCGTGTGGGATTAACGAATGGTCGTTTAAATAATAATATTACTTCAATGGGCACTATTTGTGGTTATCAATGCAAACAGAAACATGCACGGAATTGAAATTTCTTAAAATCACAAAAACTGGTTGTTTTCTAGGAAAAAAAATTAAGAGGAAGTCAATTGAAGCAAAATCTTGTCACGTGTTGCAAAGCAAATCGCATCAAAGGAATTCACAACGGTATTAATATCAGATCGAACTTTACTGCCATACGGAACATCAGCTTCTGGGATTTCTTATATTTTAAAGCGAAAATCATGCAATCTCGAACCTCGCTAGAACTTTGCGTGGGATTCCATAATTGGAAATTCCGGATACGAATACAGGAAGTCGTTGGTGATAGAGTGTTGATCAGCTCTTTTGTGACTCACTGATCAATCGTTCGCGAATCAACCTTCTATAAAGGAAACCACAACACTTGGTGGTTTTTTTTTTGTCGATCTTTTTTTGTTAAGGGTGTGTAAACACGATGAAAGGAATACTTTGATGCCCCCAGGATGTACAACGCAATGTCTAGATGGACTGGGCCAAAATTCAAATTCTTGATTATGTTCCTGACAACATCTATTTTAATTGACAACGGTAGGGATCGGAATGTTTGTAAAACATAATTCAAAATGATACGTCACCTAAGTTTGCATTGGAAGTGAACATGCTCTCCTAGCGTAACTCCTGGAATGAATATTAAAACTTGTTGCACATTGCACCTAAACTTTGCCATAAGCTCATTGTCCATTTGCTCCACTGAGCTTTTTTCCTTTTATGATCACAAAAAAAAAAAACGCAACTGAAACCCCGAAATCAGTACACTCCTTACCAAGTGACCACAAGAAAGAGAAAAAGGTTAATTGTAAATACGAGGAAAATATCGACTATTACGTCAGAAAATCTAGAAAAATTTTTCCAAAATAGTAACAAAATAACGAGATGCGAGATTCTAATTTAATTTAAATGATTTTCGGAAAAAAGTCAATAACTCTATTTTTTCCACTCCCACCCTTCACTCGCGAGAACCCTGATATCAAATAACTTCGTCGCCCCCAGGCCCCAAGCCCTGGTTCCTCCCAACTGACAGACCTGTGGATATTTTTACTACTTGGCTGAAACCAATATTCTCCCAAACGACAAGGAGTATGGACACTTGGTGGTGTGTATCTATTCCTCACTGACTAGAAGACTTTTAAAGTCATCAATCTTGAAATATCTCTCAGCTTTACGTCTAAAAAAAAACTTTGTACATGTTCTTTTCATCAAAGCAAGTTGCACTTTCCACGTAAAAAATTCCAGGATCCGCCCCTGTTCCATGTTGTTGCACGAGTTTCAGCGGACAGGAACTTCATTCCTAACGGACCCTTGAAGCACGTCGTAGACGCGATAAAATCTGCCCAACCCACTCTGAAGTGTTTTGTTAACTACTTTTTCGCCCCACGTACGAGTTCAAGTATTCAAGAGAAGATGAATTTGTTTTCGGGCGGGGAAAATGAACACAACAGCAGCATAAGTTCCAGACTACAAGCAGTCCGCGGCCTTTCCGGCGAATTCCCGTCGCCCACAAACCATTTATATTTTTGTCACTGTTTTTTTTTTTTTTTTTTTTTACTCGCACAACTGACTTTGCCGAAAACGAGGAAGTGCTCGTTCGTGATCATTTATTGGAGACTGACGACCTTGAATATATTGCGTATTAGGTCAGATATTTAAACACGGCAGGGGACTGATAGTTGTAGACAAACCTGTATTTAGCGGTTAACCGCAATGAGTGGCGGGAAAACTCCGTAAATACAGGTTCCACTCGTTTAGAAAATGATAAAAATCGCATTTTATGCTATACTTGACCAATAAATTTTCAAAAACTCACTCAAAAATACTGCTAGCGCATTGATTTCGGCAGATAAAAATTGATTAAATTTTACTCGAAAGATTATTCTTAGATGTATTTGAGTAATCCCGCCTATACTGACCGTTCAATGGAGGTGAAAGACGATTAAAA